ATATCAACATTTCATGATCCTGAAGAAGAACTTTTAAGGTATTCCACTGTTGATATTTTTTCCTCAAAAAAAAAAAAAAAAAAAAAAAAAAAAAAAAAAAAATCCCCAAACTATTTTTTTTCCTATTCTGTGTTAATTCAGTTAAATAATTGGATTTCTGTACTGCAGTTCCTTATTTTCTATGCATTTCTTGATACATGATTACATGGAGACTGAAATTTGAAATTAAAGATGATGTATTGAGTATTATATTACTATATCTCTATAAATACATTTTACAGAAAAAAATTAAGACTCCAGGAGTCCTGTTAATCCTATTCGTGCTAAGTTTGCACTGCTTTAAGAAATAATTTGAAACTCTGCTAATATAGTTGTGCTTATGGGGAATATGTAATACAAAAATAGGCCTGTTAGCTTATTAGCTGCTAAAACATCTGTATTACCATGTACAGTAGAAGTTCTATAGATAGGGTTCTTTTGAGATATGTGGTTAAACCTATTGTTTCTTTGAAGGCCACATGTGGAGCTAGTGTAAGCATGGACAAATTTATGCTTTTAGCAAGAAATCTGTCCCAGAACTGACACAGCCTGACATCAATGAATAGCCTAAATTTGCAAACCCAGTGAATAGTTCTAGGATGAGCTTCTTTAACATGAAGTACACTAGCTCTTCCTGCAATCATTCACTAAATGGGTTTGTGCTCACATAGTACTTTGACCTATGACATCCTCACTAAAATAGCCAAATAAGTCAAGGTAATATTTTTTTTGTGAGTCACAAGTCCTTTAGTCTCTTTTTTGTAACTATCAACATTTAGTTAATTTTCTGATCCTCAGCCAGGAGAAAGTATCCTGAGGACTGTTATACGGTGCAGGTCCTGTTTTCTTCCTGCCCCAAGCAGAGACTGCTTTCTTTTATGGGTTCAGGAATACTTAGCTTTGGAAGTAGTTGTTGAATTTTCCCTGATGAGGGCTGATGAGGAAAGACCAGTCCAGTGGAACTGTCTGCATCCTTTCTCGAGGCCAGGTAACCTTTGGACTCTAGAAACTCTTGCAATATTTTCTTTTTAGCTTTGTACAAAGACCTTTCACCTGACTAAGACAGCTGGCTACAAATCTAGCATCCCCAGGGCATTCCTGAGTTTTCTTAGCTGAGGATAAGACGGATATATCTTACTTTTATATTTACTGAGCTTTCAACAACTCCAGAATAGCAAACAAAGGCCTTCTTTACTATTACTGTTAGTATCATCATGAGTCTACTGGGAGGTTATCTCTGTATTCTTATTTCATCTGTGTATAAAGAACTATACAGAAACATTTCTCATTATGAATGAGAGCAATGAATGAAAGCAAGTAATATGTGATGTCAAACCCCCAAATTTATGATGTAATTACTAATTACAAAGTATTCTGACTTCACAAGACAGACAGGTATGTTTGAGATTTTAGCAGGTGTTAAATTCAAAGTTACAGGATTGCAACTGGCTGATTTGGATCTTTCTCTGACATTAATACTAATTCTGATGTGTGCTTCATTAATATTTCCATTAATTTCTGATATCCAACATGAAGATGGGAGGATCTGCTCCTAAGCAAGTGTGAGCATTAGCCTTAAATTACGTACTTAAATTCATATACAGGTCAAATTCTGTAAAATGCAGTGCACACTGTAGGTTGTTCCTGCTCAGTCAATATTTTACCTTTCACATGCTTACATGTATAACACATACCAAAAGAGGTGTTGACAATTTGTAGAGCAACAAGTGAGATGATTGTGATTGATAAGCATAAGCTGATAAAAGCTTCATGAAATAAAGTTTTAAAACATGTTTGTTATCAATTGAGATCTCTTTTAAAAAAAACCCCAATTTTCAGCCAAATGGAAAGAAAAAGAGAAAACTTTAAAACTGTACTTCACTGGTGGTTTTTTGTTATTATCTCTAGGGTAAATGTGGCCTAAACCACTGATGGACTGGGACAGCATTTTTTTATCATGTGCTCCTCCTTTTCAGTCCCTCCTGAACTCTGCTAGCTACAAACCTCTAGGTGTAGCAGAAAGGAAAATGTTTGCCCTTTTATATGAATTGAAGAGACAAGTGTGTAAGACTAAATTTAGAATGAAGTGAAAGGATACAGTAAAGAATTGCAAACATGCTGATTAGTAACTTGCAGCCACTTGTGCAAGGCATCACTTATGACAAAATCATGATGAATTTCATATAAGCCACATTTATACTTTTTTACTGTTTAATTAAGTAATTTAAAATTTTAGTCCCACAGATCTACTAATGCACCTGTCTTATCTGAAAGACATGTCAAGATTCAGTTGTTAAGTTTAGACAGGTAAGAATAATAAGAAAATATCTTCTCAAGCAAATACATACTTCTCAGCTGTGTATAGGCAGGGAACTAAGTTAGCTGTTCTGAAAATCTAGTTGCACCTTTATCACAATTGCCTCTTCCCTTCCTTCTGAAATTAAAATCTCTGTCATATCCTTAGATGTTGTGGTTTGGGGTTTTTTTTCCCTCCCCCACAGGTATTCATGTTCTGTGGAGCAATCTGAAATAGCTGCTTTTGCTACCTTGATCAGAAGGAACTGAAACCATGGATGGATAGAAGAGAGCTGTGTTCAGTAAAGGTTTGGAAACCCTTTGTTTAATTCTGATCCTCTGCTCTCAGCTGCAAAGAGACATGATGTTACCTGGTGCTGTTAATGGTGTAGAGTCTGATCTAAATACATTTTGAGCACCTCACTTTTCTGAAGTTGAGCTTAAAGTTCTTAGCATTGTGTGTAATCTGGCCCCTAAATATCGGATGTAGATGGATTTCCAAGTGTGTTGCTATTGTTCTGGAATGCTGTGCAGTTTAGTTGATCTTGTCCAATTGGAAAAAAAAAAAAAAGATCTGGATATGCCAGTAGGTATGAAACTGTCTGAACTCTAAGTTTCTAAGATGTAAAGGGAACAAATACTAAGATGAAACCAATGACTTCTAAAAATGTGTGAAAGTCAATTCATTAGTCAAAGGCTATATGTAGTGAATTTCTAGAATATATGTATTTCCAGAAGTCTGTATATACATGGTAGTTTGTATATATGTCCAGAGCCAGAAGAAATTGGTCAGAATTTTCATGAAAAAAATTTCTGAATCTTATGTGTCCGTACTAGTAAACATGTTGGTTGAAGAATATCATTCCGGATGAGGTTGGAAGTGAAGACCGTCTCTAAAACTATTCCCAGTATAGCATGTTGAATGCTTATAAAATCTGCCTATTGATTAAGGCATGGAACCATAAAAAGTAGACGTTTCCTGAATATGTTTTCATATTCTCACTTCAATCATAACTGGAATTTTAAGGCAGATCATAACTTTAAAATTCTTATACTAAAGCTAGTTCTCCAAGTCTCAGTGATTTTTAACATGGTTACTCCAGACTAAAGTAATCCTCAGTGTATGGGTAGAAAGATCTGGTCCCCGATATTTAGGACATAGTCTATTGGAAATGTAACGTGTTTGCAGTTTTAATTTTTAAATTATTTAAAATGCGTAGCGTGGCTTATAGCTTACTATAAAATTGTAAACAACTTAGCAAACAAAGATGTGACAGTATTTTCCTCTCTTTAATCCATTTTCTTTTTCCCCTCTGAGTAAACTTCCTCCCTTCTTTCTCTTTACACAGACTGAGTTTTTAACGGTTCCTGCAACCATTCTCATGAAAAATTAGAGAGAAACTGGAGTTGTATATGTAACATATACAGCTTGCTTTTCTTGTAATCAGGCTTTATTTCATGTGCCTGCATCATTATGGTTATGACAGCAATACTGTTGTGGCAAGCATCCTGACTGCAGCTCTTGATTCATGTAGATTCAATTCTCAGTGAACTTCTACAGTAATTGTTGGTTTTAGATATTGTATTATTTTCCCTTAGCTTGGCAGTAGTCAGCAAGAAATTATGTGTAGTCCCAAAACTTTACAGATTTCAGCAGCAAATATTTATGGCAAAAACATCTCTGTATAACAGACAGAGATTCAGTAACTAGCAATATAATAGGGAAATTCAGATGTGATTTAAGTTCATCATCTTGAGGGTTTTTTTGAGACAGAAGATCTTTTATTCATTCCAGAGTTAAGTTCTGTATCAAGAGAATGGTTAAAACCTGTAGTTTCTCTCTACTGTCTTATCCCGAATTTCTGGCTTAAAATTTCAGACCTGACCGCAACAGACCACAAAACTGCCTTAACAAAAAGTCCAAGAAATGTAAAGGGGGGAATTTCTGGCCAGAGAGTTGTGCATGAGGATTCATTGGGTGCTCCAACAAAATTAAGAGCCTAAAGGTCACTGTAGGCAGCCTAGGTTAAGGGAATCCCCCATGTATCAGTGATGATGATAACCAAAAGGAGTCCTTAAGGTATCTTCTTCCTCCTTGCTTTCTGTTCTGTGTGTACCCTGCTTAGGATTCAGCCTTCATGGTTAACTACATGCACGGGAATGCACAAAATAATATCCCAGTGAGAAAGTGAATATTCCAAATATGGACTTATATAAGGAGTGTACAGAGATGCACAGAAATGGCATTCCCCTATATGTTAAATGAGGTAATAAAATAATTACATAAATGAATGTACAATGGTGTAACAGGCATGCTTACAACTCTGAATACAAGCCAGACAGTGAGCAATACTGACAGAGAAAGAGTAAAATTTATGTGAGGCCCTATGGAGGTTAATAACAGTTGTGATAAATAGTAAAGTACAGAAGAGCTGAACTGAAACTTGAATCTCTTTGCTACGGCTAATTACAGGCTCAGGTGGAAGACAGCTACAAGTTTTTCCTCGTAATAGTCTGCCTACTTCAAGCCAAATAAATTAAGAATGAGATGCTGGGGGGCGAAGGAAGAAAAGGTAAACCATACTTTCTTGCTTGAAGTACAACATTGTAACAAATGGTATCTTTTTCTTGATTGAATTATAATATAATGCAAGATTGTTACCTACCTTAAGTTCTCTAAAAAAGATGCTACTCCTAGCCCATTCAACAATGGAGAAGAGGGTTTGGTCAGCCATTTTACACATAAGCCCAAATGTGTTGAGCTTCTCATGTTTGCTTCTGTTTGCTTGCTCTTGCTGCAGATATGCCATGATCTTAGCTTGGACTTGCGGCTCATCTGGCTCACATTTCAGGAGTTCCAATATCAGATGTGGAATACTTGCTGGTGAGCTTGTTTGATAACTATCCATGTATGAGTAGCCCATTATTGATTCTGGTGAACTAGTGTAAGGGTCAGGGTACTCAGACTTGATAGCACGGCTTGGAAAATGGCCATAGGTTTGGTAACCTTGCAAACTGCCATGGGGTGGCATTGTCATACTAATTGGAGAAGTTACAAAGGGACTTCTGTCATAGTCTGTAGGAGGCAAGGCAGTATGGTTCAGAGGTAGGCCTTTGGAGGCAGAATGGATGTTCTGGATTGCAGAAGATATTGTCAGATCAGTCGGCATTGCTTGGATCACCTGAGTCATGGCTTCCAGTTTAAGTCCATTTGCTCTGATAAGAGCTTTCTTCTGCTGCTTCAATGCCCTGTCTCTCTTGTACATTGGCCCAAACTTGTTTCGGCCACCACGCATTCGGTCAGCTCGCACAGCTGTCAGGGGAGAGGAGGAAGTAAATCATAATTAAAACTTGGAATCAACATTCTTTAATGAAACACACATTAGGACAGAGCAAAAAGGTAAAAATGTAACTCCCCCCTTTTTTTTTTTTTAAATTCAAAGTAGCACTTTTATTCCTAAAGAAAAAGATTTATTTGACTTAACAAATGTCACTTTTTTCTGGTAATTTAAATATCACATGCATATATTACTAACATAGAAAGACTTCTCTTTACATTGATTAGGACACAGGGACAAACACAATGGTTGGCTACAGGAATTTCACACCTGCTATGGGATCATGTGGAGATCTCAATGTATATTTGGTTTTATGTCAAGCTACTATGTCATTAAGATACAAGGGCTGATGTCCAGAATTTGTCTGAGACGTATCCAGCAGACCACATTGTCTCATTATAATCATTCCATTACTGCCTTCCACCGCAGCAAAACATCTGAAATGTAAATTGTGAAATGTTCAGTAATCACAAAGGGGAATACGTTTGTCTTGGCAAAAAGGAAATATTTCCTTTTGATGATTCTTCAGGTTGATGTAAAACTTTAAGAGATTTCTAGTTAGTTGAACAGCTCTACAGAAATGTTTAGCTGCAGTTGGAATGCGCAGAGAGAAAGCTGTCAGCTTGCTACTTTCCACACAGAAGGTGGTAGTGAAACAGAAACTATTGACATTGTTCTGGCTTGTAATATCTCTGGAATTAGAAATAATTAAAACAAATCCACCTCAACAGCTGCCTTGGGAGTCATACTGGTGGTCTCTGTCACAGCAGTGTCTGTCACCATGTTATATATGTAATGGACTAGCGAGGAGCTCTCACCAAGCCCACCTTGCCCAACGGCAATTAGATTGAAAGAGGAACCTTTGACAGCCTGGTGACATGTTGAGACTGCTGAGATTGCTGGAGGTTAAGTTCTTGAGCTTTTTATCTTAGGGATTAGTAGAACATTAAAAATTTATTATGAATGCTAGATACGCATAATACTGTACATTATCATAAGGACTTTAACGTTTAATGATTTTTTTGGTCCATGGTAATTTATGAACTAGACTTTAAGGCTATATATATTGCTGTTGGGGGAATACACATATAAATGTCACAAGTATTTACAATTATGGAAGCACATGTTCTTCCAATTTTCTAAACAAAGGAAAAGAAGTTGTGTGGATGTGTGGATAAGGAAGCTAAAGTACATTTTCTAGAGTATCTTTAAAACTACAGGCACTTTGCTTAAATTTGTAATAAAAACGTTGCTGCTAATATTGCTGTTGAATGTTGATTTTGAGCAAAATACAGGAAATTAAAATAATTAATCACCATGCTGGTAAATGTAAGTAACTTTAAATCTGTATACATAGTACCCTTTCAGGTATTCTGTAATTAAAAACTGTGAGCCAAACTGGATTAACAAATGCTTTTCTATAACTGTTATAGAAATTAAGGTGAACTGCATGCAATCACAGAAGACAAAATTTGATTCTGTATCATTGTCAGCAACTGAGAGGAGTTAAAAGTAGGAGTAGATAAATGTATTTTGTCCTTATTCTTAACGTCAACAATGAGAAAAGGATTCCAAATGTCCTGTTATGGTACTACTTGAATTTGGAAGAACATGCAGTGGTTCAGGATGTTTAGTGCAGTGTGTCAGTGCTAGCTCAGTCTTGTGGGCAAACAGAATAGTATTGAATCCATCAAACTGCAGGAGGGTGATTTTTCTGTTTATCTTCAGCTATATCAACAGCTTTCCTTTGCCAGACTCAGGTGATTGGATCTTATCATTTATGGTTCCCTTAAGGGTTTATGGTTTCCCTCCTTGGCCTGATTGTTCCTGGTTAAGCATCTAGGGTGAATGCCATTTCAGTACAATTGTAAGAATAAGGAATTTAGGAGCTTGTCCTTGGTCAAGCAGAAAAGTCATTTGCTGTGAAATCTGAAATTTAGTATTTTATATACCAAAGTTAGAATTAACTGTGTATGATTCACAAATTCAAGTCAATGGTAATTTTGCATTCAGTTATCTCAAAGGGTATTGTACATTTTCATTGTTCTCTGTACATGAGAAAGTGAAATGAAGTCAAAAAGTATGCTTCAAAATGCCTTATTCTCTTTCATTTGTAACAGCATCTCAGGTGTAGTATCATAAAAATATAGGACACAACTTTAGAGATTATTTGGTTCCTTAATCCCAAAGGCAAGTTGGTGTGAGAAAAACCCTTATTTTACCTGTTTCTCTGTTTTCTGCCTTATTGTCAGAAGAATAAAAAAACCAACCCTAGATAAAACATAAAGAAAACCAGACCACTCTCCATAGCAATGACTAATTTTTTTTCTAATCTGGACACTTCTTATGTATTTTATGTTTAATCTAAATTAAGTCCTTTTAAAAAGCTGCAAAACTATTCTATCTAGATCCATTCATTCACAAACTCTAAAATACTGAAATATCAAATTATATACATATATGAAAAAATGGATTATGGTTTTGACTAGTTGTTAGTGATTTACCATTTACTCATTAGATTTTTTTTATAAAGCAACAATTTCACTGAGCATACAAAGTCACCTTTTACTATAATTTCAAAACCACATTAAATATGTAGCTTTTTTTTTTATAAAATAGCATGGAATAACATATGAAATCCTATAATTTTCAAAATTAATCTATAGTATAGTTGACAATATCAGCAAGACTATAGCTCTTACCTTCCAATTTCATTCCAACACTTAGACATTTTTGAAATCGACAGTAAGGGCATCGTTTTCTCTGTGTTTTGTCAATCTGGCAATTCTGATTTTCTATACATGTGTACCTTTTGTTATTCTGGACTGTTCGCTTAAAGAATCCCTGTATGATAGATACAAAAGTTAGCCTGTTTTGCTTGAATAGTGCGTTTCAGCATTTTATTTTATGGAAATCATCGTAACATATTTTTCAGACACCACTCAAGCACTTATGAAGTTACATAGTTTATTTTAAATTACAGTGACATATACCCAGGAGAAAACCATCACACTCCAGCGGAGGTTTTCTTATGTTACTGCTATGATTTATAGACTTATGCCAAAGCTTGGTAAGACTGGCTGTAGTCTCCTGTGCCCCTAACAGTGTTAGCAGAAATAGAGAGGCTGACCAGTTCCTTTTGTATTCTTTAATCATTGCAAAATTATTAAGGTCTTCCTTTTCAAGTAGTTTTACATTAAATAAATAGGGACACTGTTGCAAAGATAACAGAAATATGGAATACCTCTGGCTACTGTACATCCCAGTGGTCCATGCTAGAGGCATAATAAGTGCTTGTTGTTCATTTCTCATTAATTATTTTTAAATGAAAATATAATGTGTTAAGCTAATTTTTCCATGCAGCTGAATATTTTAAATTGCATTGTTCTGGCAAAGGAGTTTCTTTTACAGTGCATTACTTAAGTAACCATAAAGAACTTCAAAAAAAATTTACATGACAAATTTGACATGTCATAAATTCATAGGTATTTAAACCCTTTAGTATAATAGAACCATGCAGATACATTTATCTTCCAATATGGTAAGTTGCATTTACAAATATTTTCTTTTCAAAATTAACGAATGTTCTAAACCGAATCATACATTAGTTACTTGCTTTTGTGTGTTGAGTGAGCTCTGACAGTTATAGTTTGTATGAAAAAAGTGCACGGTCATTATAGTCACAGAAATTTACATTATAATACTGAAGGATGAAAAAATCTTAAGAAAGCTGCATTAGATTTTCCAAAGCTGATCTGTACTGAGGATACTTTTCCTACTTTATCCTCAAGGAACAGAAATACTCTGAATGTATATAAATCAACTAAAATCAATATTTAGGACAGTTAGGAATGAAAGTTGTTCTAGAACTACATCACTTCACAACAGCAGAATACTTAAAAGCACTGATAAAACTACAATGCAAAACAGTCCAAGTTGTTTCCATTTGTGCAGATGAGATCTCTCCAAGAGACTTCTAAATCCTAAAGTTTTTTGGTGGTTAATTTTTTATGTGAATGTAACAAGAAATAAATCAGAAATAAGCCAAATTATTACACATCTGTTTTCTTTAATTATCATTTTTTCTGCTTATATTTGAAACTTTTTTTGCTGTACTTGTGTTTGTATGAAGTAATTAGTACAGAACCTTGCAGCTTTCACAAGTGAGAAGTCCATAATGGTACCCAGACACCTTATCTCCACAGACTGGACACAGTTCCTCCAGGTCTTCATCATAAGAGTAATTCACCATTTTAAACTGAGACACTGGAGAAAGGAGAAATAGCACATTCAATTAGAATTTACATTAATAACTCAGATTTTCTGCAACCGTTCTTATCTAGAGGGAAAGCTCACTTAAACTTACATACGACTGCAAATTGAGGGAAAAAAAAAAGTTATATTTTAAAAACACAGTTTGCATCAAGACGTGCAACTTTCCATCAACAGCAAATCTGCATGATACTTAGCAAGTGGAACAAAACCCATTAGCTCCTCAGTTTTATGTTCTAAATATTTATATTTACAGAGTGCCCTTAACCTAGTCCCTAGTTTACGGAATTACAAACTAAATGAATTCATTTAAATCCGAAAATTATCACGGGCAAGCTTTAAAAAAGCAGAATAAGATTAAGTGCCACTTGTGTATTTAAAGCAACTCAGTTCGTTTCCTTTAAAGTTTTCTTTCAACATCAGCCTGCAAATATTTACTTAGCCTAAACTTCTATCTTACAGACCCAGCACTTTTGCGCCGCGTTAAATCCAAGTTACTTACTTCCAACACCAGCTTAAAACAGCGTCCTCCGCGCCCCCCAAACTCGTTGTCTCGGGATGACCGCCACCCCTCCGAGCTAGCTCGCTCTCCCACCCCGCCCCAGCCGATGGGGTGAGCGCTGCATGCCCGGAGCCCCCGGCTTTTGCAGCCAGCGGTCCCGCGGCGAGGGGGGAGACCCTTTTCAGCCCCCGTCGGCGCGGCTCCCCGCGGGTCGGCAGAGGGGTAGCGGGCCGGGACTGCCGTCCTCGGGGGATGCGGTCGGGGCCTGCCCAGCCGGCGCCCCCCGGTACCGGGGGCTGGCGGGAAACCCGCGCGCCGGGGCCGCCTGAAGTTTCTGCCGCTCGGGGAAAAGGCGGGGAGGAGCCGGCAGTCAGGAGGGGACGAGGCCGGGGGGGGTAAAACAAGCTGAATGAAGGCACAGGGCGCGGCCACTCGAGCCGGGCTCCCCCTCAAAGAGCCCAGTCAGCAGCTCTGGTTGGTCCCCAAAAGAAAGCCCACCGCTCACCGCGGGGCCGGTTTCCTTCCCCTTCCCTGCTGCTAAACCTCCGATCTGCTGGACAAGCGCAGCGGCAGCGGAGGGCTCCTGAGCGAGGCGAGGGCGTAAGCAGCGGCACCGCTTAGGAAGTCGCCTCTTTGCCGGTAACCCCGCGGCTGCCACGGTTCGGGGGCACCGGGGCGGTCAGAGTCCGCCCGAAGCCCCCGGACCGGTCACCCGGCTGGGGGCGCGGGAGCTGCGCGCCCCTCCGCCCGGGCAAAGGGGCTGCGCCCCGGCGCTCGGGGGAGCTGCCGGGGAGCGGGGGGGACATTAACTCGCCCCCACACAGCCGGGAAAACGTTTCCAGAGCGACCTCGGCACGGCCCGGGATCGCCGCCTGCCAGCGGCGTGGGGCGGACACGGACGGCCGCAGGCGGCGGCGGAGGAGGGCCCTGCCCTCCCCTCTGCTCCCGCGGCCGCGGCTCCAGGGCCCGGCGCTGGGACGAAGTTCCCCTCCCTCGCAGGCAAAACCAAGTGGGAAGCAGGGGTTTTCCTAGCGCCGTGCCCTGGCACGGAGCCTCCTCCGCGGGCGAGGAAAGGGGCGGGCGGGCCGCCCCCGGCACTTCCGAGGCCCCCGGCCCACCCCGCCCCTGCTTCCCAGCAGGCTCCCGGCAGAAGGGAGGATAATTTCGAAAGAGCAGCCGGGACGGGAGTTTGTGCCCTGGGAGAGGCGCGCAGGGCAGGGCGGGGTGGCCAGCGCCCGCGCACCGGGCCGCCGGCCCCGAGGCAGGGAGCCAACCCTCCCGGCGGCGGCCCTCGGAGGGGGTCTCCGCTGCCTCCCTCCGCGCAGCGCTCCGGCCCGTAGTGCGGCACCGGGAACGGCCCCGTCCCGCCCCACAGAAGCATTTCCCGCGCCCAGCTGGGGCATCCCGCTGCCTTCGCGGGTACCCCGCAAGGGCTCAAATCCGCCGCGGCGTCGGGGCTCTCTGCTGCGAAGTGTCGCACCGCCGCCACTGCCACCTGCGTTGTGCCTGCGGGCGCCGCACCCGCGGGGCAGAGCCCTCGGGGTCCCGTTTCGGGACGGTGTGAAACACACGGGGTGCTCGGCAGGACTTCCCCGCCTAACTCCCCCTGCCATAAACTTCAGTTTTGCGCTGACGGGGACGCGGTGTCCCCGAGCAGCGACCGGCGGGGCGTCTGCACCCCAGGGCTGGCTCCCGCCATCCAGATGCTTGATGGTTCCCCGGCGGCGGTTGCACCTCCTGGTCGGGGCCTCGTCGTCCCCTCGGCGCTGGTGCCCCGGGTCCCGGTGCCCGCCCGAGCCACGCTGGAAGTTGGCCCGCGAAGGCAGGGGCTCGGCGGGGCGCGGGCGGCTGCGGGGGAGCTCGCAGGCAGCCGCCGTAAACTTTTTTGGCAGGACGAAGGGGCGGTTTGCCGAGGGGGGGCCGAGCGTGCGCGGAGGGGGAGCGCCGTGCCTTTCCCCCCTTACCTTGCATGTTTTCCGGCATCTGCCCCTGTTCCCCATTCGACCGGGCGAGTCCCAGGGCCTCCGTCTCCACTTTGGGCAGCATGACAAGGCGGCTGCGGGCCGGGCTGGGGGCTCCGTGTCCGTCCGCGACACCAGCACCTGGACACGGCAGCACAGATTTAGCTGGAGCAAGGGGCGCTCGGCGGCCGCTGCGTCTTCCTCCTCCTCCTCTTCCCTCCCTCTGCTCCACGCCAGCCCTCGCCCTGCTGCAGCGGGAGCACCGAGCGGCCCCGGCCGCCGGGAAGCGCCGCCGGGTGCCCGCGGCTGGGGGAGCCGCGGAGCGGTAGTCGGGCTGCAGGCGGCGGGGGCAGTGAGGAGGAGGAGGAGGAAGACCGGGGGGTGCCGGGGAGGAAGGAGGAACCCCGGGAGCCCTCAGCAGCTTCGCCCGGGGCTCAGCACGGCGGCAGCTCGGCGCCCCGATCCATGCGGAGCGGCACAGTGCACAGGAGCGCTCTGCCGCCGCTGCTGCTGCTAGACAGGGTTCCCACCCCCGTCCCCCTCCTCCCTTCCTCCCCCCTCCTCCTCCTCCTCCCCCCCCTTTCCCCCGCCACAAGTGCGGAGGTGCCGATCGGGACCTCTAGCCCCGGGCCCGCGGGGAGGCGCTCCCGGAGCCCGAGGGCTGCAGGGCGCGGGGGGCTCCGGCGAAGGGGGGCCCCGACACCGCCCTTGCAGCCAATAAGGCAGAGGCGGGATGAGCAACACCCCCCGCGCACACACAGGCACTACACACACGCGCGCAGGAGCACACACACTTGCCCAGCGGGCTCACCCTCTGCCCGGTTGTTCACCCGGGCTGCGGGGTGGGGGCCTAGGCTGCAGCCGCTCCTCCCCGCCCCAGCGGAGCCCGAGGGGCCACCGGCCCCAGCGCGCCGGGCTGCGCCCGTCCTCCCTCCCGCGGTGTGCCTCCCTGCCGGCGGGCAGCCCCTCTCCAGCTCCGTTGGGGCCGGCGGGGCAATGCCCCCGCCCGGCCAGCGGCGGCTGCGAGATCCCCGGCCTTCGCCTTCCCTCGGGGCGGGCGGGGGTAGGCAGCGGAACACCCTGCGCTTGGAGAACCCCGGCCCTTGCGGCCACGTTGCCGCCGCGCAGCCCTGGAGCCTGAGAAGAGCAGGCGGCTGCCGCGCTTGAGCTTGCTGTACCTATTCTGGCTTTTTGAGTCTCCCTCCCCTAAACTTGCGAAATCTGTCGGTGCCGGTTGCGTCGTTTGCACAAAAGCCAATGCCCCGGCAGAGCCATCGCTTGAGCAAGAGCCTCCCTTCCCCGGCTCTAGGTGCAGCAAGTGGCACTCGTTTCCAAGTTGTCCCGAAGAACTCGTTTCTCGCAAGGGGGTGCCTCGGCGGCGAGAGCCGGGCGGCCCCGCGGCGCGGCGTGGCGGGGGGCCCGGGGGTGGTGGGGTGCCGAGCCGTCCGGCGAGCCGGGCCGGGGGTCTGCCCGCCCCCGCTGCCCTTCTCGCCCCTCCCACGCTGGGACCGTCCGGAGGGCTCCGCGCCGCTCCCACTGCGGCGCGTAGGTTTGGCGGTGTGGGATGAGTGATATTTGCACCTTTGAAAGCATCCGAGCCCCCCGCCCGAGCGCTCGGCTGCCCGTACTCCTCTGACACTTTCATCTCCGTTGTGTATATTAAGAGCTGAAAATATTTGGCGATGAAAATTGCTCCGGATTGAAAGTGAGGCGCAGAACTGTCTCCAGCGCAGGGTATAGCATTTCCCGTCGGCTGGGAGAGAGTTTGTGAACACTGACCCTCGTTGTAACTTACTAAATTCTTGCGATGGTCGCAAGGTGACCGGCGGTGGGACAGTCCCTCCACGTGCAGAGAGCGGACGCGGCTGTGCTCTTCCCCTGTCAGTTCAAACTTTTCGCACCCAGTAACTGGAAGAAGAGACCTTTGCTTAATTCAGCGCAGATCCCGTGCCAACCCAACACCGGCATCACTGGAGTAGAAAACGTCTCTTTCTCTCCTTCTCTGTGCAGGGTTTAACATTTTGGGGATGGACCCAACGCGCAGAGAGGCTCGGACCTCTCGGGCTCGTACCGTTCTCACCGCTCCCCCATTCACCTTCGGGCGGGAGGGCGAGCAGGCGAGCTCTTGATCTGTATCAACACGTTATTTCTCCAGTTATCATTTGACAATTCAGCAGTTCGCCAGCGTCTAAGTTTCAGCACAGCAACACGGCGAGCCGCGGGAGCGGCCGAGATGGCTAAGGCGGAGTGGCTGGACGCCAACCGGAGGGAATGCCCTCGTTCCTAGGCAGAAGTAGCTCGGGCTGAGACCCCGTCTCGGCCCTTGGGAAGTTGTTCACAGATACATTAATTACAAACAACCCCTCTCGCAAGCGTCGCCGTGTAGCATCGCCCTGCTCTGAGCCCGGGCGTCTCAGCGCTGGCGGCGTCCGCTGCGCAGCGGCGGCTCCGGTCCGCCCCGCTTCCCCGGGCGCCCTTCGGGAGGGGGTCAGGGCTGCGGGCCGGGGGTCCCCGCGGCGCGGCAGGGCCGAGGCCCTCCGGCCTTGCGAGCCTGCAGCCGGGCCGCCTCGGGCTGCTGCTGGCCCGACGGGCGGCCAGAGGACTCCGGGGGCCGCTCGCAGAGGAGCTTCGCCTCCTCGCAGCCCTTCCCCGCAGGAGAAGCGCTGTCAGAGCACAGCTCCGGCTGCATTTGCAGCACACCGTGGGAAGTTGAGTACACATCGGCAGGACACTGCCGGACCTGGGTCCTGCAGCCCGCTGCGCTCCGTCGGGGAAAGCGCCTGTGCCTTCCCTCCCGCTCGCCGCCGGCAGGGTCACGCCGCTTGGCGACGCCCCGCCGGGGCGCTCCGTGCCGCCGCTCTCGTTATCTCTGCTCCGGCAGAGGCACCCGCGTTTAGGCGAAAGCTGGGGAAGGAAACCCAGTGTCCGGAGAGGGCAGGCGAAACCGGCCCAAGCGCAGCCGGGGCCAGGCGGGCTGCAGCCCCCCGCGGGCAGCCCGGCCGGGACGGCCGCCTGTCCCCGCCGGCGGCTGGGCTGGGCCGGGCCGGGCCGGGCCGGCTCACCCCGGCCGACAGTCTCCCTCGGGCACGACCCTAGCACCAGTTTCCGGCTCCTTCGCTCCCACTCGTGGGCTTAATGTCATTCCGCCGGGCAAGGGTTTGGAGCGAGTTCAAACTGTACATCGCAAAGCCACTCCGCGAGCTATCGCAATGGTTGAAAATACTTTGGAGTGGTTATTGCACATCCACATTTCTCCGAAGTAACAGTTTAGGGCAGTACATATTACAAATGATACCTGGTCCCTCGTGGCTACGTTTAATTTAACATGGAGTTCTAGCTCTCACGATTGCCTTGAGCAACCTTAATTACCCTTTCTTCTAATCTCTTCTCCATTTCTTACTAAGTTCTCCAAACTTTTTTTTTAATGTGATTTCTCTCCTGAGTTTGCCTGCCTTGTTCTGACTTTGCCTGAAGGTCTTGATTGACGCGTGTAATTATAATTATAAAAGATGATGGTTCGGGGAGCCTCCAGCAGCCTTGATTAGTACGAGGAGCAAGACCTGGAATATTTTATACTTCCTTATTTAAATGTATGTACATTTACATTAAAAAAACACGGTCTAATTTTAAATAATCTGAAGCTTCTTCCACCTCTTTGTTTTCAAACTAGAGGGTTTTGTGTGATGATATTTCAAGCTCCAGTTTCTTACAGCTTCAAAGAGACCACAGAACCTGCGCGAATTTCAAAGCCTTTTTCCCTAAGCGGGGACATTTCCATCTTGGAGGGTCTGCTCGATAAGCAACAAATAGCACGCTCCCTTCTAGTTTTCTGTCGGAAAGTGTCCCGGGGAAGGTCTGATTTATCTTCCCAGCAAACCGGCGAAAGAGAACTTTTTTGTGGGATGTTCAAGACAAACTTCGCAGAAGCAAATAAATTAAATAAATAAATGGAGGACTGAAACTTTTCTGCTGGGAAGTCTAAATCCAAAGCCGATCAAAAAGACTTAGAGGGAAGTATTTAAGAAAGAGAGAAATCCGCATCCTGCCCCCCTTCCTCTCCCGCTGACCATTCCCGTTTGCTGCCAGCCCAGAGCCGCTCTGAGCGATCCCTCACTGAGAGCGGCGGCTTCAGCCAGGCGCGGGGCGAGAGTCACGGTCACGCAGCCTGTCCCCGGCGCAGCGACACAGCCCCGGGCACAGGCTGGCACAGCCCCGGGCACGGAGCGGGGCGGCCCCGGGCAATGCGCCGGAGAAGGCAGCGTGTGGCCGCGCGGCAGGCACAGCACCCCTCTGCAGCTGGGGAAGTTTATAATGCGAGTTTGCTGCTTCGCCTCACACACCTCTTACGCCCAACTTTACGAGACTGTTTACACCACGAAAAGTGTATCCAATACAGGCTCTGCTCTACTCTCTTTTTCCCCCTTTCCTTTTCTTCCCTTTCTTTTCTTGCCCTCCTCTTTTCTCTCCTCTCCTCTCCTCTCCTCTCCTCTCCTCTCCTCTCCTCTTCTCCCTTTCATCCCTCTGCTCCTTGTTTTAAACACATCACCAATACAGTACGAGAGGGAGAGTACCTCGAAACCTTCCAAATCCCGTAGCCAACGGGCGCCTTTCATCATTCTGCCGAGGAAATATTGCTTTTAATTCCTAGGGATTCATTTGAGCGGAGGCTGTTAGTGCCTCCAACTCGGGCTTTATAAAGTAAACTGTCCCCTCTAGAGAACTGACCCCCCCCCCCCCCCCCCCCAACCCACAAAAACAAAAAAAAATTTTTTTTTTCTTTTTTTGATCCACTGTCAGGGAAACAGAGTGGGTGCTTCAGGCTGAAATACTTTCGGCAGCAAAGCACACACCACAGAGGATCGCTTTCCAAAGCCTTTTATCTGCTGCGAATCATTCAGTGTTGCCTTACGGAGATGTCGATCCTCTCCGGTCCGAAATAGAGAACCATTTCCAAACAGTCAATTATTGACCGAAAAGCTATTTTTCAAGCCCGGCCAAACTTACTGCCGCACGCTGGAATGCACTGCCGCCTTATAAACACCTGGCAGCAGCGTGATGCAAAACTACAGGAGACTCCGCAGTGAGGAGTGAGCTGGGCCAAGTGGGTGGTAAAGCATCGCCGTGATTGCCTTTCTTTTATT